TATTGATTCAATCGTACTGGTAATGGACCAATTGCAAATTCAACACCAAAAACGGAATCATCAAAATCCGATTATCCGGCAAGTAATGAAGAAAAACCTGTCGTACGTCTTTCTCTCTCTCTCTTTTTCATTTTTTATATCAATGTAAAAAAAAATGTAAAAGTAATTATGAAAACTATCATAATTAAAAAAAAAGAAATTATTTGAATAAATGAATGAATAAATAAATGTAAAAAATTAAAATTTCTTTTTTTTCGTTTTAAAATTAAGTTACTAATTAAAATTGCTTAATTTATATATATTTAAATTATAATTTTTCATATTGCAATAATACATGTAGCATAAATTTACATTTGTAATTAATTTAAAAAATATTAATGATTGAGTTTAAATTTAATTTAAATTTTATTTTTAGATTATAGAGCAAGCAAAACATGTATCAAAACGACGAAAAACAAAATATGGCTCATATAAAACATTAAATGATGATGCATATAAGTATGTTAATTTTTATTTTTAAAATAATTATTTCATTTCTTATTTGATCATTTTCAAGTTTTTATTTTATTTTTATTTATTTATTTTTCTTTTTTTTTTAAATTATTATCTAAATCACTTATAGATTTGAATTCTTTGTTTTTACCAAATTTTGTAATTTTTTTCTTCAATAAAAATTTAATTTAATTTTTTAAATTTAGTAGTGATTTGGATGATTTATGCGATCCGGATTTTTATTTAACCTATACATCACAAGGAACAATGCCTATTACAAGTAATACAATGGAATCAGGTAAATTAAACGGTGACCTGAATAGGATGAATAAAAATGAACCGGATAATCAAAGTGTAAAAGAAAATTATCTTCCAACAAATACAACAACAACAACAACAACAACAACAGGAATGGCAGCAATAGATGATGCAACAGCAAAAATGATCGAACCTAACCGGAAAAATATCAAAATACCGGCAAAAAAACGATTTATCAGTAAATTTTATTATTTTTCCGCAAGTTTATTTGTTTTTAAAATTACTTAAAATAAATAAAAATATCAGCGAATTATTAAAGTTTAAAGTTTAATTTAAAATTGAAGTTTTTTAAATTTTAAAATTAATTTGTTTAGTTTAATTTTTAAAATTTAATGATTAAAATTTGAATAATTTTTGATACTTTTATGTTAAATAATTTTGAAATAAATTTTGGAAAAAATTTGATTAATTTTTAAATTCTAGTATCAATAAATTAATCGTATTTAATCTAAAAATATTCAATATCTAAATTCGATATAAAAATATCAATTAACTTCAACTAAATTTGATATAATCTTTACAACTAATTGATGTTACAATAACCCACTAATGAATCTAATAATTAATTACATGGATGATGCTAACGGAAATCTTTGTATAAGTGTAATTTTAAAACGAAAATTACTGAAATATTAATTAAACTCTGATGAATTCTAATATTTTCCCAAGTATTTGATATTAATATTAATTAACTCATACTGAATGTGTTATAATCCTTGATAAATATTCGGTACTAAAGTATTTAATTACTTGCATCATTTCAATAAATTTCAATGCATAAACATATTTGCATATAATTTAAATTAATGCTAATTTTTAATAATATTAATTTCTTAAATTGCATAATTTATCAAATAACTTGTAGCATATAAAATAGTTTATTAATTAAATTGAATTATAAGTTCTAAAGTTTTTTTTGCATTGAAATTCCGATGGTCCATTAAAAATTTGTTATGAAAAAGATAAAAAAAAATTGTGGAAATGACATTTTTTTTTTTTTAAATTACTATTTGATCTTTTTAAGTGCATTTTTTGTTATGCAAGAAAGTATTGGAGCAATTTGATTGCATCTTGCAAATGCATGCATGCATGCATAAGCATGTATTTATTGTTAAAATGTAACAATACTTGAAATGGTATTATCAGCTTTGTGAAGAACTGATTTGTATTCAATGATTAATTTAATTTATTTCAAATGTTCTATAAATAATCTAATTTAGCCTAATTACAATGCTGCTATAATTAGGACGAATATTTGATTGAGTAATTAATTAATCATTCAATTTATTTCAATTTTTTTCCCCCCTTTTTGCCCTTTCTTAAATTTAAGTAAAAATATTTAAAAAAGAAAAATTATTGCAAATGATATATTTAAATTAAAAACCACAAATGAAAACGAAAAAAAAATGAAAAAGAAGGCGATGATAATGAATTTAAGTTACAATTAATTATTCGATTAAATATTTGTTTTAATTACAGCATTATTGTAATTAGATTAAACTTGGTTTATTTATAGAGTTATTTATGGAAATTGCTGCGAATTTAAGCTACGATGATTATGATTAGGAATTTTATAGTAAGGGTTGATAATGAATTTAAGTTATAATTAATTATTCGATTAAATATTTGTTCTAATTATAGCATTACTATAATTAGATTAAACTTGGTTTATTTATAGAGTGATTTATTGAAATT